ATCCCAGGACCCTGGAATCATGACCTAAGCCGAAGGCAGATGCTTAACAGACTGAGCCACCCAGACACCCCTAAACACTTCAGATTATAATCACAAATGCAATAGGTTTGATTCACTGAAAGTCTCTAATAGATTCATTCTGTTAAGTGTCCCACAGAGTGGTCTGTGCCCAGTGTGGTGCATGGACACACGGGGAGCCTGTTTTGTTCTGGTCATTAGACCCTTGCAGGAGTCCCACATCAGGCCTTCTGAGCAGTTGGTCGCTTGAAGCATTAGGAGATGGGAAGTCTCCGCCTACCCCTCTGCAGAAGAGGGAGCAGGGACCCACAGCACATAGCATGGCACATCTCTCTCCTAAGAAAACTTTCCTTCTCTTGTCCCCTCACTCCAAGGATGGGGGGGGGTGGCGTGCAGTAGACGTGGTCGGTGATGGCAAAACTGGTTTTGCAGCCACTTTGCCTGCCCTGCAAAGGCAGCATGGTCCCTGGTTTTGGCATGAGGGAAACTGGGCTTCTACCATCATTTTTGTTGCTCTTGGCCTTGAGCAGCCCAGCCGAAATGCAGACAGCCCATTTTAACAGTTTATGCACACTTGCCTAAACACACTTTATACAAACTATCTCTACATACTGAGTTTGCCCCTCCTGGAGTTGCAGGATCATCCAGCCCAGAGGAGCACTGTTTTCCTTTTGGGTCCACCACTGCGGCCACCAAGGTTGGGGACCTGGGCACTTCTGGGGACGTGGATCCCAAATTCACGTCTCTCCCCACCAACTTCAGTATCAGAAAGACCACACTGATCATGCCAAATGCTATTTACGCAAACTGTTTTGCTCTTTACATCATGAAATACTCATCCATTTCCTTTTCAATTAATGTGTTTGGGGTCCTATTTATGCAATCTTTGTCTATCCCAAGATCATGAAGATCTCCTATTCTCTTTTCCAAGAGCTCTGTTGTCCTCTCCTTCATGTTTAGATAGTCCATCGGGAACTGATCTGGTGAGGTGTGAGGTAGGGATCAAGAAACTTCTTTCATTTGGATATTCAGTTGACCCAGCACTGCTTATTTATCACACAATCTTCTTTTTTTTTTTTAGATTTTTAAAAAATTTATTCATTTGAGACAGAGAGAGACAGAGAGAGCATGAGCAAGGGAGAAGGAGGCAGAGGGAGAGGGAGAAGCAGGCTCCCCACTGAGCCAGGAGCCCAATTCGGGGGCTCAATCCCAGGACCCTGGGATCATGACCTGAGCCAAAGGCAGATGCTTAACCATCTGAGCCACCCAGGCACCCCATCACACAAGTTTACTACCTATCAAGTCCTGGGTGTACAGAGGTGGGTAAAGCAAAGCCCTTGTCTTCATGGTGAAGGCAACAGACAGGAAACAAGGGGAAAAATATATCAAGGGTGGTGAATGCCAGGCTACATGATAAAGCAGAGAAGGAGGATAGGCCATAATGTATTTGAGCAGCCTTCTATTATTACAGGTCACTCAGGCTGTGTCCGGTGTTTTGCTATTATAAATAGCATTACTGTGGGCATCTTTAAAACAAGTCTTTGGGAATATTTCTGATTATTTCCTTATAAAAACTATGTGGATAAGGACTTAGGCATCAAAGAGTATGAGATTCTTGGGCTTTGATACATATTTCCAAGCTGCCCTTCAGAAGAGCTTACCAATTTACACTCTCCAGAGCCCAGTGTTGGAGGGAGCTAAGCTGCCTACGTTTCACTGATTTTGGGGTGAGCCCTCGGGGGACAGTGTGAACATGCAGACTCCCCTCCCACCCCACCCCTTCACCCGTGGTATTTAATTTCCCTAGCAATGCCCTTCCTCCTTTCTTCCCACCCAAGTCCTAGCCAATTTTCACATAATTCTGACCTCTCCCCTCCTGGCACTCAATTATATATTCATATTGTTTCATTATCTATTTATGTGAAGTGAGTTTAAATATTTTATTTATTTCTCAGAGAGAGAGGGAGAGAGAGAGAGAGTGCACTTGAACGGGGAGGGGCAGAGGGACAGGGAGAGGGAGAAAGAATCTGAACCAGACTCCGCACTGAGTGCAGAGCCCCACATGGGGCTCGATCCCGCCACCGTGAGATCATGACCTGAGCCGAAACCAAGAGTCAGACGCTTAACCAACTGAGCCACCCGCTCGCCCCTATTTGAAGTGAGTTTATATGTTGCTTCCCTAGAAGATTGTTTTTCCGAAGACTTGGACAAGTTTATACTTCCTGGGGCATGGAGCCAAGTGTAACGCACACACGAAGCATATACTAAAGCAGTGGCCAGAGTGGTGCCCTTCAGAACCGCAGCACACTCACTTCCAGACAGACTTGGGCAGATAGTATTGGTCCCACCTGGATGGGCCAGTCTGGTGTTGTTGTAACTGCACACCTGTGCGATGCTTCAGAACCCAGCACAGATGACCACAAGGACTTGGGGGAGCATCGTTCATGCACACACTGCAGCCGGAGCTGACCAGTCCACCCGAAGGGGCTTTCTACAGAGAGGTTTCTGCCTTAAATGAGATAGAAATCACTGCAGGTTGTGCTGATGGTGACTTGTCTGTTTCTCGAGACAGCCACCAAGAAGGCCCAGGCCACCAGGAGGAGCCTGCTGCATGTCCCCTACGGGGATGGTGAAGGGGAGAAACTGGACATCTACTTTCCCAGGGAAGTGTCTGCAGGTAGGTGGCCAGGCAGGCGGTCCCGCAGCAGAGCTCAGCTGGCCAGGCCACCTGGGCTCAGCCCCCATGCCTTTGTGTTTACAGCCTCACGTTTCTGTCTGTTCTTTCACGGAGGGTACTGGCAGAGTGGAAGGTGAGTCTGGAGTCTGGATGAGCAGGGAGAAAGGGAGATTCGTCTTGCCCTGGTGTAGGAGTCCCCTGGGGTTGCTGCAACAGATGACTGCAAACTTGGTGGATTATCACAGAAGCGCGTTCTCTCCCGGTTCTGGAGGCCAGAAGGCCGAGATCAGGGTGTACTCAGGGCCGCACGTCGTCCCAAGGCTCCAAGGGAGAACCCGCTCCTGCCTCTTCCAGCTTCTGGGGGCTCTAGGTTTTCATTGGCTTTGGTTGCATCATTTCCATCTCTGCCTCCATCCTCGCGGGGCCCCCTTGGTGTCTGTGTGTCTGGGTCTCAGATCTCCCCTCCCCCTTCTCTCTTGGATGACCTCAACTCAGGATCCCTAATGACAGCTGCATAGACTCTATGGCCACATTCCCAGGTACTGAGGTTAGGATTTGGACCTATCTTTTGGGGGGGGACACCATTCGACCCACTATACCCGGTGAGAAGCATGTTCAAGCTACTCTCAGTCAGAAGGAAACCACAGTGACTAACCTTCCCAGCCTGCTCGGGTCTGAGGGGTTTCCCAGGACATGAGGCTTTCAGTGGGAGAGTCCCCGGGCAAACCAGGTCAGCTTGTCACCTTAAGATAATCAGAGGGGTATTTGAGATCTTCAAGGACACTGTTGTTCCCTAGGATCTTACTAAGGAGCCTGCTATAGGATCTACCACCCCTCAAGCACAGTCATCTTCTTAGCTAGATTTATAGCACCTTTACCCTTTGTCGTGCAAAGCTCTCTACCCGTCTGATCTTCATTTCTCAAAGACAGCGCCTAAGAGAATTTAGATGTCCCCATTTTACAGGTGAGGAAAGCGGACTTAGAGGTTAAGTAAAGCCCCGGGGTTTCATAGCTAGCATGTGATAAGGTAAGGACAGCGCCTACCTTCTTCCTTACACTACATGGAACCAGAGAGGGGTGGAGCCCTGGGCGGAAAGGACACGGAAGCAGCCTGGTGGCCCAGGTGCCTCCAGTTGTCACATCTTTGTCTCTTTCCACAGTAAAGACACATCAGCCTTCATGGTCAACCCACTGACAGCACAGGGAGTGGCCGTGGTGGTCATGGCTTATGACCTTGCCCCCAAAGGTAATGAGGATGGTCCTGCAGGTTTGAAGGCTGCTGGGCTTTGGAGGGGAGAGAGCCCCCCACGAATCCTGACCCAGCTCCTGCTCTTCGTGCAGGTACCCTGGACCAGATGGTAGACCAGGTGACTCGGAGCATCGCATTTGTCCAGAAGCAGTATCCGTGCAATGAGTGGGTATCACTGCAGATTTTCCTTTTATCAGACAATGAGGGAGGATGGTGATTCAGCCCCTTGGACGCAGCCCAGCTGTCCCTTCTGGCCTGTGGAGCAGAAGGCAAATTGGGAGTCTTTGGTACTGGCCCGATGCATTAGGGAAACTGAAGGCGAATTGGGCTCTCTGCTCTGACCCAACCCAGGGGACTTTACCTGTGCGGGCACTCAGCAGGGGCCCACCTGGCTTCCATGATGTTCCTGACCAACTGGACCAAGCATGGAGTCACACCCAACCTCAAAGGTTTTCACGGGATTGCAGGTTTGGCTGGACAGCCATCACCCTCCCCAGATGGTCTGCACCCGGCGCACAAAATCCCAACAGCCATGGAGGGCTTGACATGGGGCTTTGAGCCCTGTGAAACAGGCCTGCTTTGTGTCTCTACCCTTGCCCTGGTCTTGCCCCTTTGGCCCTGGAGGCTGGGCTGGCCCCATATTGCCCCCCTCCTCAGGGCTGGCTTGAGGCCCAGTGTGGATGGAGTCTTGGCCCCACCTGCAGCCTGGCCCTCTGACTATTCTTCACCTTCACAGGCTTTTTCCTGGTAAGTGGGATCTATGACCTGGAGCCCATTGTGTATACCACTATCAACGCCCCTCTCCACATGACCTTGTGAGTCATTTGTCCCCTCCTCCCAGAGCTGAGCGTGAGCCTATCAGGGGGGCAAGGGGTGAAGTGCAGGCTTTTCTCTGTCCTGACCCACGCCTACCCCCTGTGTCAGGGAGGATGCTCAGAGGAACAGTCCCCAGCTGCTCCTGGAGGCGGCCGTGACGCGGCCCTCGGATCCAGCCTGCCACGTGCTGGTGGCTGTGGGCCAACACGACTCCCCTGAATTCCACCGACAGTCCAGGGAATTTTATCAGGTACCCCCAGCACCCTGCCTCTGGCCAGAGGTTGAGGGTCCTGTGCTCTCATTACCTTCCTCTTTATTTCACCAAAAGGGACCCCAAGACCACGAGCCATTTATTCAACAAATACTTAGCGAGGGCCTAGTACATGCCCGGTGTGGTGTGGAGCTCCCCCACCCTGCTGTCTCCTGCTTTGCTCATTTCTCCACCCAGACACTGCGCCGAGGAGGGTGGAATGCCTCGTTTGAAGAAATCCATGATGTGGATCACTTTGAAATCATTTGGAACCTAACCCAGAAGGACTTCGTGCTCACCCAGGTGGGGCACATCCTTTCACTGTGGAGAGCGAGGTTGCCCCTGCACAGGAGAGGTGGGGAGGTGGGGAGCACGGAGGAGCCACTTTACTGGATCTTTGGCCTCCAGGAGGCTGGGATCCTGATGGTAAGAATTGAGTACCCCATTAGCTTCCTCTACTTCACCCCCTTCTGAAATGAGGTGAGCTGCAGAGTCTGCTCCGGGGCACACAGGTGGGAGCTGCATGGGGCTTGGTGTGGATGGGGACAGGCATCAATCTGGTGCAAGGAAAGTATCAGCCTGTGTGTAAGCATAAAGCAAAGCCAACTCCGGATAGGAGAGGATGGATGGATTTGGTTCATTACAATTTTTACATGGAGAATCCTTTTAAAAATCAAACATTACAGGGGCGCCTGCCTGGCTCAGTTGGTGGAGCACATGACTATCGATCTCAGAGTCATTGAGTTGAAGCCCCACGTTGGGTGTAGAGATGACTTAAAAATAAAATCTTTTTAAAAATCAAATATTACAATTTTAATGCGGAGAATTTTTTAAAAGCCAAAGAATAAACTGGGGGAAATATTTGCCACAGATTTGACAGATAAAGAATTACCAATACAGTTGGGTTTTTTTTTTTTTCTGGGAAAGTGGGTACGTCATTAGCTTCACTTTTTAATCAGCTGCCGCCTCAGTGAGGCTTTTAGAGCATTCAGTTTTAACTCACATAGTTAATATTCTTACTATATTAAAGAGCACTTTCAAATCAATAAGAACCATTTTTATTTCTATTTAGGAATAGATTATAAAGAGAAAAAAATGGACAAGGAATAAGGGATAATTTAAGAAAAAATATACATGGCCCGTAAACATGGGGGAAGATTAAATTATACTAGTGATCATAGAAATGTCACTTAGAAGGCCAGTCCTTTCCCACCTGTCATGGAAAATGTTCTAATGATAATTACGCCCAGCCCTGCTGGAGAGGTTGGGAAGGGCTCCTCTTGAGTTCTGCCGGTGGGACCACTGTCTGGTGATAGGGATCCAAACCCACTGGCCCGGTAATTCTGCTGCTTGGAATTTCTCTTCAGGATAATCAAGAAATACACAAAGGTAGTCTTCGCAGCTTTATTAATACTCAAAACTTAGACACAGCTGACATGTCCCAGTGAGGTTAAATGATGACATAATTCAGTAACAGAATGAAGTTTGTAAAGATGAGTTAGGATACATCACATTGTTTCGGATGTGAGAGCTAAAGCACAAAAAGAAGTGACCCAACATATTCCCAGTTTAATAATACATCGACAGCTAGACGCTTGGAGGCATATGCATGTGTGTGAAAAAAACAATTACTAGTGGTGACACACAGGTGTATTTTAAAACAGGAACACGTATTACTCTTCTTTTTTTAACTGGGGGAAAAACAAACACCCATAAGTGGCATCTTCTCTTGAAAAACTTAAGAATCGGGGTCGTGAGTTCAAGCCCCATGTTGGGTGTAGCGATTACTTAGACTTTAGCCCTGGAGGCTTTTTTTTTTTTAAAGATTTTATTTATTTATTTTGACAGCGAGAGAGGGAACACAAGCAGGGGCGAATGGAAGAGGGTGAAGCAGGCTTCCCGCCGAGCAGAGAGCCCGATGCGGGGCTCGATCCCAGGACCCTGGGATCATGACCTGAGCCGAAGGCAGACGCTTAACGACTGAGCCACCCAGGCGCCCCGGCCCTGGAGGCTTTTAATTAGTAAATTTTAAATTAATTAATTAAAAAACTAATTTAATCAGGTTTAATTTAATTACATAAAAACGTAAACCCACTCTTAGCTCGTGGGTCAACAAAAGCGCATGTCGAGCCCGAGGTAAGTCTACGTATGGCTGGGGCCTTATTTAGGACACTTCAAAGGACAGGTGGGACTGGGCTGTCATTTTAAGTGACCCTTCGATGCCCAGGAATGCAGCCTGTCTCTTTCATCAGATTCCTCAAGAGAGAGTCTCACAAGAGCCTCTCCAAATCTGGGGCTCTTGTGTCTTTCCTTCTGGCTGCAGATGATTTTGAGAACAATCCTCCACGAGCACTGACGGCGCTGGAGTGTGCCCCCCCACCCCCCGATGGTGAAGCTTCTCCACAGACCCCACACGCTTCCCCGTCCTGCCAGCCTCCCGCTCTCCCCATGCCCAGGAGCGCCTCTGTTTGCTCCGAACACCACTAAAAAAATCTCTCTTTCGCTGGCCTCGATGGAAGGATTCCAGGGAAGGTCCAGACCAGTCAACGCTGTGTGATGCCCAAGCTGCCTGGCCCCCTGCCTGCCGAGAGGGCATAACGAAAATGACAGCTCCTGGCAATAAGTAGACTTAGCTCCAGCTCAAAGTTTGCTGACCTTTTCGAAAGATTTTCTCAAACCAGCCTGTTCTGTCTTTTATGGCATTCTTTTGACCACTCTGTCCTGTCCTGAGGATTTCCCAGAGTGTCCTGGGACATAGCCTCGGGGCTGGCCCCTTCTGTGATGGGACGATGACATCCAGAGCCAGGACAAGATTCCTCTGCCCCCCACCCAGGGGTGTGTGCAATTCCCAAGCAGCCAGCCGCGTGCATCTACCACCCTCCCCACCCAGCACCCCTCCCCCACTCTGAATAACTGGCACTCCAAGTGTGATGGAGTATCCCAAAAATGAAGAATAGCCTAGACAGTCATTAGTTGGGGATGAGTACATCCAAGCAGCCAGCAGCCAACCACTATGTAGCCATTAGAAAGAGATCTGTTTACCGGGTGGGAAATCCCCCGAACATACTGTTATATGGCAAAAGCAAGATGCTCAGTGATACAACTTAGTACCATCTCAATGACTTTACACAATATACACCCACAAAAAGATGTTTTTCTCTGTGTGCCCACGTTTGTGCATGCAGGGGAAAGGCCCGGGAGGATCCACACCTAAGGCCTCTGCTCATGTCTGGGGAGTTTGCTTTATCTGTGTTCTTTGACTCTCAGGCTAAGAAGATAATGAATATTTAAATGTAGTATGTGATCTGAAGTGCTAAAATATTCAAAAAGCTTTCAGGATGCAGGCAAATGAGAGTGATATTATAGATGTAACTTGAATTTATTCCAGATCTTCAAAGGAAATGACTCACAAACTGTGGGACTTGATCTAACATTTGCAACAAATTCCGAATGAGACATCTCGCAGCTGCTGGTGGGGGAAACCCAAGGCTTCACCACACCTAGGTGGAGAATTGCCCCCTTTAGGTTATGCCCTGTTAAGGCCAAATGCCTTAAAGTAAGCAAAAGACAGAACAAAAATGTGTTCGCCCCCTTGTGATCCTATTTTCATTTAAAAAAAGAATACATAAACGGGGCACTTGGGTGGCTCAGTAGGTTAAGCATCTGACTCTCGGTTTTGGCTCAGGTCGTGAGGGTCATGATTTCAGGGTCGTGAAATCCAGCCCTGAGTAGGGCTCTGCGCTCAGCCTTCTCTCTCCCTCTGTCCCTCCCCTGACTCATGCACTCTGTCTCTCTCTTTCTCAAATCTTAAAAAAAAAAAAAAAAAAAAAGATACAGGGTGGCACTTGGGTGGCTCAGTAAGTATTTGCCTTCTGCTCAGGTCATGATCTCAGGGTCATAGGATCCAGCCCCACCTTGGGCTCTCTGCTCTGTGGGGAGTCAGCTTCTCCTTCTGCCCACCACTCACCCTGATTGTGCTCTCTCTGTCAAATAAATAAATGTAATCTTTAAAAATAAATAAACATTTTAATTTAATATGCAACTTATAATAAATACACTGTGGACTGAATAACTATTTTTATGGCTTTTTAAAAATGGCGTCATAGGGGCGCCTGGGTGGCTCAGTTGGTTAAGCGACTGCCTTCGGCTCAGGTCATGATCCTGGAGTCTCTGGATCGAGTCCCGCATCGGGCTCCCTGCTCAGCAGGGAGTCTGCTTCTTCCTCTAACCCTCCCCCCTCTCATGTACTCTCTCTCTCATTCTCGCTCTCTCAAATAAATAAATAAATCTTTTAAAAAAATGGCATCATGATTTCTTTTTTTATTCAAATATAATTAACATAACAGTGTTCTGTTTCAGGTGTACAATGTTAAGGTTCAGCAAGTGTGTACATTGCTCCCAGTGTTCATCTCGATGAGAGTGCTCTTAATCCCCCTTATCTATTTCGCTCATCCCCCCACCCACCTGCCCTCTAGCAACCACCAGTTTGTGTTCTGTATTTAAGAGCCTGGCTTTTTCATTTGTCACTTTTTTCCCCTCATTTGTTTTGTTTCTTAAACTCCACATATGAGTGGAATCTTACGCTTTTGTCGTTCTCTGTTGGACTTATTTTACTTAGCATAATACCCTCTCCGTCCATCCATGTTGTCACAAATAGCAAGATCTCATCCTTTCTATGGCTGAGTAATATTTCATTGTGTGTATATATCACATCTTCTTTTTCCCTTCATCAGTCAGTGGACACTTGAGCTGCTTCCATATCTTGGCTATTGTAAATCATGCTGCAATAAACATCGGGGTGCATGCATCTTTTCGAAATGATTGTTTTCATTTTCTTTGGATAAATACCCAATAGTGGAATTGCTAGATCATACGTATTTCTATTTTAATTTTTTGAGGACACTCCATACTGTTTTCCACAGTGGCTGCACCAGTCTGCATTCCCACCAAAGTGCACAAGCGATCCTGTTTCTCCGCATCCTCTCCAACACTGGCTATATTTTGTGCTTTTTTATTTTAGACATTCTGACAGGTGTGAGGTGATATCTCATTGTGGCTCTAATTCATATTTCTCTGATGATGAGTGATGCTCAGCATCTTTTCATGTGTCTGTTGGCCATCTGTGTGTCTTCTTTGGAAAAACGTCTATTCAGGTCCACTGCCCAGTTTTTAGTCAAACAGTTGTTTTTCTTTGGTGTTGAGTTGTATAAGCTCATTATATAGATAACTATTAATGTTAAATTTCCTGATTTTAACAATTGTGCTGTGGTTATATGAAAGATGAAGTATTTAGGGGTAAAGAGGGATAATGCTTTCACCTTACTCTTAAATTGCTCAGGTAAAAAATATACATATATACACATACTATATATATATTCTCTCTCTCTATATATATACATATACATATACATATACATATATGTGTGTGTATGGGCATCATGTAAACAGAAAATCTGGATAGAGTATACATGAGTATTCCTTGTACTATTCTTGCAAACTTTCTATAATTTAAAATAATACAATAAAGGGGCACCTGGCTGGCTTAGTCAGTAGACCATGCAACTCTTTATCTCAGGGTTGTAAATTCAAGCCTCTGGTCAGGTGTAAAGATTACTTAAAAATAAAATCCTTAAAAAAAATAATAAAATGATACAATAAAAAGTTTCCAGAGGCACCTGGCTTGCTCAGTGAGTAGAGCGTGGTAGAGCATGGGATTCTTAATCTCAAGGTCATGAGTTTAAGCTCCATGTTGGGCGTGGAGCCTACTTAATTAAAAAAGTTGTTTCCAAAATGTTGTGACATTAAAAGAATAGAAGCCAGCAGCCCACGTGGGGCTGGAGCACCGAGAAGTCCTCTTATTTCTGGCCTGCGGATGTGAGAGGCGCCACTCAGCCACCCCTGCATCTCGGGAAGTGACCTCAGAACACCCTGTTCCTGACGCAGATGGAAGAGACACACTTCCCCATAGGCTGCAGGATTTGCCTGTTGCTGGGACACCACTTCGAGGAGGGAAGGGGGGCGTTTGCCCTGGGGTCAGCCCCACCCATCCTCCCTGTCCTTCCCTGTTCTCCCCTATGTTTGTCATTGCCCCCACCTCACCCCCGCCCTCCTGGACACCCAGGTCTGGGTGGTCAGCGATGCCCTCAGGGACTTAAGAGTTAATGTCCTTCTCTGTCCTTTAGTAGTCTTTCAAGCTTTCCTGAGGCTTTTGTGTGGCATCGAAACACTCTAGAATTATCCTTTCTGACTTGGTGGAGCAGGTGGGGACGTATCTCGGCCCTCTTTGCTTGCCTAGCACCTGGGAGCTGCTCAGGGCTCTGTTCCTGGAGTTGGTTTCACTCCCTGTCCTTTCCGGACTTCTACCAGCGACCCTGGGTCTCCTTTTATTCACCTGTAAAAGAATCCAGCTGGAGCAGGAATAGGCAGACAGACCCACAGGCAGACCTGAGGCTGGGTTGGATCCCAGAGATGGGTCCCAGCACATAGGGGAGTTTGCTAAGTGATAAGGGGAGTTTGCTAAGTGATAAAAGTGGTGTTTCAAACCTGCCTTTGTTCAAAGCTGCTTACCAAACAGTGTGGGGTCAACCGGCCAGATCTTGGCAAAGAAACCTGAGCCCTTTCCACATGCACCTTTCTATCGATATACTTCTGAAAGGATCAAGATTTTAACAATGAACACCAAAACCAAAAGGAATCTTCAATGAATATCTTTTATAAGTCATCTCAGAGTGGAACAAAACAAAAGAAGCCAACCAGAAATAGAAAACAAAAGTCAGGGGCGCCTGGCTGACTCAATCCAAAAAGCATGTGGTTCTTGATATGGGGGTAGTGAGTTCGAGCCCCATGTTGGGTGTAGTGATTACTAAGAAAAACAAAACAAAACAAAAAAACACACTTAAAACACCAAAAGTCAGGGGAAGAAAAAGACTGATAAATATAACTGCATAAAAATTAAAAAATTCTGTGGCGCCTGGGGGCTCAGTTCGTTAAGCGTCTGCCTTTGGCTCAGGTCATGATCCCAGCGTCCTGGGATCGAGCCCCACATCGGGCTCCCTGCTCTGCGGGAAGCCTGCTTCTCCCTCTCCCACTCCCCCTCCTTGTGTTCCCTCTCTCACTGTGTCTGTCTCTGTCAAATAAATAAATCTTTAAAAAAAATTAAAAACTTCTGCAAGAAAAAAATATGCCACAAAGTCAAAAGACAACAAACTGGAGTCAAGGGCTGGGAGGACATGACAAATGAGGTTAAGTGCCTTCTGAATAAAGACTCACCAGGCAATAGGAAAAATGTCAGTATCCTAAGAGCCAAGTGGGTAAAGACACCAATGGGCAATTCACAAGCAAGATAAAAACAACAGAGTTGAGATGATCAGTATTTTAATCTGAGAGATGCAAGTTAAAACAAGCACGTGCTGTTCTGCATTCTCACAGAGGCAAAGATCAAAACATCTGTGGTCGCTCAGTGTTGTGAGAAGACAAGAACTCTCAAGGCAGTCACCTGTTCAGGTTAACCAGGGAGACCTTTGACCCAGAGAATTTAGCAACCCAGAGAGCAACACAGCCTGCCTCCCTCCCATCTCTGGGGTGGCTCTTTCTTTGTCTATGTGTTTTTCTCTCTCATTTTCCCTCCCCACTGTTTCACAAAATTGCTCCCAATTTGCTTGTCAATTACAATAATTGCGAGCTAACAGCTTACCCAATGCATAAAGACTGTAACTGGTAGAAATGAACAAAATTAATTTAACAACGGCTAACACTGATATAAGCCTCAGGGGTTTTTTTAGCTACTACGTTTAGATGTTAAACATTTGACTCCAGACAGTAGGAACTTGGTACAAATAATGCAGAAGGATCAAAAGGGCAGAAGCTGTTATTGGTAAGATTTGATAGAGCCAAAAGCTGATCTATGAATTAAATATCTGTTACAAAATCTTACGGAAAAAGGGGAGTGTTTAATGAGCACAGACTTAACACATATGTGTTCGACAGTGGCCACTCCTTGAACCCATCACGGGGACGTCAGAGCATCCTCAATCCCTCTTCCCACCGGTCTTTGCAAGCAATGGGAGAAACGCTAAGCGTGGGAAAGGGCCAGCGCGCGGCATGGGCCGCTCTGCGCATCGCGAGTAGCTGAGCTGCACGGCGGGAGGACTACAACTCCCAGCACGCCCCGCGCCGCCCAGCCTTCCCAGAAAGCCGCGGGCGGCGCGCTCTGCGGCAGCGCGTTCCCGACATGCTCCGCGGCGGCAGCCAACCGCCGGATTTGAATCAGGTCGGCGCTCTGTGGCTGTGTCGGCGGGATGGGCGCTTCGTCGTTGCCCCCTGCCTGGCAGCTCTACCTCAAGGACCACCGCATCTCTACGTTCAAGAACTGGCCGTTCTTGGAGGGCTGCGCCTGCACCCCGGAGCGGGTGAGACCGCGCGGCCTCCCTGGGCCCCAGAGCCCTGACGCGGCCCCGGGGTGACCCCCTCCGGCTGTGGGCTTTCGGCGCCGTGAAACCCCTCCCTCTGTGGGTTCCCGAATCCTGAGCGACCCCTCCCTCTGTGGGCTCCCAGACCCCGGGGCGACCCCTCCCTCTGTGGGCTTTCGGCCCCGGGAGACCCCTCCAGCTGTGGGATGGCAGCCCCGGGAAACCCCTCCCTCTGCGCTCCCGGGCCCCGGGCGACCCCTCCGTCTGTGGGATCCCGGCCGGGGCTACCCCTCCCGCTACGGGCTCCTGGGACCCTGGAGCGCCTCCGCCGGGGCCTGAGCCTCAGCTCTGCCTTGCAGATGGCCGAGGCCGGCTTTATCCACTGTCCCACTGAGAACGAGCCCGACTTGGCCCAGTGTTTCTTCTGCTTCAAGGAGCTGGAAGGCTGGGAGCCAGATGATGACCCTATGTAAGTACCCCAGGCCAGCCTCGCTGGGCTTCCAGGTTGCCCCGGCTGCATCCCCGGCTCCTGTTTTGAGCTGGGCCTGCGAAAACTATCTGAATTTCCGACACTTAGTGATGCAGCCGTGGCTTTCCGAGTTCGTTTTGTGCCCCAAACAGTTATTGCAAATGGATGAATCTCTTTGTGTTGGTGCCCTGGTGGTGCTTTCAACCTTTTTAAACCCGATTTGGCCAGACGTCCTCCAGTGGATGCTGAAGAAAGGCTCATTCTTGCAGGACTGTCCTTGACGCCCTTCAGGTCTGGCCGAATTCAGGCGCAGATCCTGTGGTGACCTGGGGGTGTCCAGGTGCTTTCCTTGTTTTAGAGTCTTCACATCTAAAGCTTTATTGAGCTGTCACTCACACACCAGAGAAAATACTCTCTTAAATGGAACGCTTGTGTTGTTTCAGGTTTTGTTCTTTAAGGCATCTAGATTTGTTTTTGGTTGTGTTTTTTTAATTCCGTGTGTATGTCCAGACCCTGATGGCTGTCTTTTTGTATGTGACACCACTTTCTTTTCTCATCTTTTTTCCCCTGTCAGACCCAATTGCTGCCATAAGCTTAATATTTTCCTATAGAGAATTACCCAAGTTGTCTGTTCTTGGCCAGAAGAGAGTTGTTGTTTTCTCTAACATGTTTGCTCTTATGACCCATTTTTTTTTTAAAGATTTTATTTATTTACTTGACAGAGAGGGAGAGAGCACAAGCAGGGGGAGCGGCAGGCAGAGGGAGAGGGAGAAGCAGGCTCCCTGCGGAGCAGGGAGCCCGATGCGGGGCTCGATCCCAGGACGCTGGAATCATGACCTGAGCTGAAGGCAGATGCCTAACGACTGAGCCACCCGGGTGCCCCCCTTATGACCCATTCTTGACTAGGATGGCATGGTGCTCATACCGGGGATCACTGGGAAAGTACCCGTTGTATTCTTGGGAGTGAATTTCTAGGTGCTAGAATATTTTCAGATGGTAGTTCCTAAGGGCTGTCCTTTTGGACTCTGTATGGCTGTGTGTTCATTCCAGTACTGTTCTGCTCACACTGCTGTCCGCTATTTGCAGGGATAATTCCCAGTGCAGAGAATGAGGCTGGGGAGTTCACTGGAGAAGCCTGGCCAGCGATGCCCTTACTGGGACCCAGCAAACAGATTCTGTAACAGTTCCAGTGAAATGAGATTACTTCAGACAGTTCCTTCCTTGAGGATTTTAGAGGGATTTGAAGTGTGCTACCTCTGCACTTACATACCACGTGACATGTTTCCTGCTAATTGCTGAAGGACTCCAGATAAAATACATCAGCCCCAAGCATGGTGGGGAGATGTCCAGAGAGAGGGCAGGGGGCAGAGATGGGCTGTGTGGGAGTGTGCCCTGGGACCTAGCACTGGTTCTGTGTACTTCACGAAGCAGAGGAAGGCATGTTTGTGAGCCAGGGTGCTGGGTGTTGCTGACGAACTGTTGTTTTTCTCCCTTTACCTGACTTTTCTCTGTTGACATGCTCCTGTATTGATTTTTCTAGAGAGGAGCATAAAAAGCATTCATCTGGTTGTGCTTTCCTTTCTGTAAAGAAGCAGTTTGAAGAATTAACCCTCAGTGAATTTTTGAAACTGGACAAAGAAAGAGCCAAGAACAAAATCGTATGTATTATCGGGAGTAAGAACCAAGGGCAAACCCTGTTGAGCTTCTGTAGCACTGAGTTCCCCGCCCTTTGTATTGGAGGGGCTTAGTTTTCCTCAGTACGCATTTTTAAGCCCCTCAGATGGATATGTGAGGATATAAAGGACAGAAAAGCGTCTGTCCTGGAATGTGGTCTTGGGGTTGTGCAGTCAGAGACAAACGTGTTCCCTCCTGGAGGACGTGTTTAGTGTGAGGTACCTCTGGTGGTGGAGCGGTGATGGTTAGGCTGGTGCCCAGCCTTCAGTGACAGTCTGTGTGGGAGGCCATTTACATAGTGTGTGTTCATGTGTGAGCATGGTGGGGACAGAGGGTTTGGGGGCACATAGTAACATATCGGGGAAAGGGCATTATGGGTATTGGGAAAAAGAGGCACAGTCCAACTGGACCTTGGTATTTCTGCAGGTGAACTTTAACTTGTGGACAGGCATCCTGGGTTATCGGGAGAGAGGAAGGGTGAGGCTGTGGGTCCACAACGAGGTGGGTACCAAGCAGCCTGGGCTGTAGAGAAAATCAGGGCTCCCAGTTAAATCTGAATTTCAGGTACATGGGGAATAATTTATTAGTATAGCTCACGTTTTGTATGGATGTATACTAAAAAAGTTACTCGTTTTTATGAAGTTCAAATTTAGCTGGACATCCTCTATTTTTATTTGTTAAGTATGGCGGTGTTACAGAGAATAAATGTTTGGGTGTTTAATATCGTTGTAGCAAAGCACTGGGCTGGGAGTTGACATCCTAGTTCTGCCCCCGCCATTCGTGGGCTCTGTGAGTTTAGGCCAGTCTTGGTTGCACGTGGAGGGCAGATCCCCGTAGTTTCTGAGATCCTTTTCTGGTTGAAAATTTATGTTCTTTTTGAGATGATTATGAAATAGTTCTGTCTGATATAGTATAAACACTGAAGACCAAATTTTTTGTTAGGAAAAGGGAAGAAATTGGCGGTCAGTATAGCAAGTTGTGGAAGAGCGTTTACGCAATGGGGGTCTGGGGGACTGCAGTGTTGGAAGCACGAAGTGGGCCAGGGAGAGCCTCCTAGGTCAGGCATCAGCACACCCTCCATGAAGTGCCACAGATAGTAAATATTTTAGCCTTCATGGGCTTCATGGTTTCTGTTAAGTATTATTTTTTTTTTTTAAGATTTTATTTATTTATTTGAGAGAGTGAGAGAGCGTGAGCAGAGGGAAGGGGCAGAGGGAGAAGGAGAAGCAGACTCCCTGCTAAGCAGGGAGTCCGATGCGGAACTCGATCCCAGGACCCTGGGATCATGACCCAAGCCGAAGGCAGACACTCAACCGACTGATTCACCCAGGTGCCCTCTGTAGATATTATTCTTTGGGGGTTTTTTTGTTTTCACAACTGTTTAAAATGTGAAAACCATTCGTAGCCCAATGTATGAAAATAGGCCATATGTCCCACAGGCCACAGTTTACTAAGCCCATTCTAGGTGAGAGACCAGCCTGTGTACTTAGGGGACAGTCATGAGAAAGCTGTGCCCCAGTGAGCAGGAGGAAGATTAATGTGTAGCCCAGGGAGAGGCTGAAACCAAACTGTAGAGTGCTGAAAAAGACAAAGGGTGTTAGGTGGTTGTAACCAAGAGGAAACGAGGTTGTGACAGCACAGCTCCAAGACGGTGAGTGACCCGGTGCTCCAAGGCCCTTGGTCTGATAGGCAGAGTCAGGTGGCCTATGGGGAGAAGGGAGTCACTGAAGCAGGAAGCCCACCAGGAGACGCTCGCTCACCAGGTCACCATCATCTTCGGGAACAGCAGTGGGGCCACACCAGACCAGGGTGAACAGGCAAGAAGGGAGAAAAGTGGGGGATAGGAAAAAAATGTTTTGCTTTCATTGTACAGCTGTTTCTGTTCTCCCCAAGTCAGAATACAGGATACGTTATTTTTTTTTAAAGATTCTTATCTAAGGGTGCCTGGGTGGCTTAGTCATTAAGCGTCTGCCTTCGGCTCAGGTCGTGATCCTAGGGTCCTGGGATTGAGCCCCGCATCAGGCTTCCTGCTCAGTGAGCCTGCTTCTCCCTCTCCCTCTGCCTGCTGCTCCCCCTGCTTGTGCTCTCTCTCTCTTTCAAATAAATAAATAAAATCTTTAAAAAAAAAAAAATTCTTATTTATTTGAGAGAGAGAGAGCGTGCAATCCAGCACCAGCAGGGAGAGGGGCAGAGGGAGAAGCAGACTCCCCACTGAGCAGGGAGCCGAATGTGGGGCTCGATCCCAGAACCCCGGGATCATGACCTGAGCTGAAGATAGACATTTAACCGACTGAGCCACCCAGGCACCCCAGAATACAGGATACTTTAAAACGATGCCTTTGTTTCTATTACTTTGTTTAATTACAAAACAAACAATATAAGCTTCCAGAAGGAAGAATCAAAAGCTCCACCTCTATGCTAAGGGTGACCACCATGGACTGTTTATTGTGTCTCCTTCCAGATAATTTTTAAATTTCTGTATTTTAAAGAAGAATAAAAAGTGTAAGCTGTTCATACTTTCCTTAATTGGTTTATACCACTTAAACAACAGGGAAGTTTTTGTAAGCCCATGGCTCTCAACTATACTGTTACGATGTCGTAGAGCTGTGCTCTCCCCCTCTGTGGCCATCAGCCACGAGTGGCTTTTATGACGAAGATTCTGTAGAGTGCAGATTTGCGTGCTCCGGTCACACAGAGAGCGTCTTACGTGCCCAGTGGCTGCGCATGTCCCGTTGCTGCCATGCTGCGCCCCGCAGATAATGGAATAGTTCTGTCATTGCAAAAGGTTCTGTTGGACATGCTGTTCTAGAGTACCAGCTGATTGTGAGATTTGCTGCAAATAATTTATCACTAGTATGTAAGTCAGGTCCCCTCGTGTGCCCATGCACTTGGCCATGTGAGTGGATGGTCATGTCTGGGAACCGGCATAACCAGAGGTCTGTCTGCTTCGCCCTGGAGCCCCATGGGCAGTCTAGGGCACCTCACTCCTGGGGGTGGGCTGGCACACAAACCTTGTCTGTTCGGTAGGGGTAAATAAGGTCGGGGCCTGGTATTTTAAACTATTAAGTCAGCTATGTGATTGCAGTGTGTAGTTTAAGGTAGTCGTTTATTGGACGTTCGTTAAAAAGAACGAGATGAAATAATTGTGTTGGGTATGCAGATACTGGAGACAAGGAACAGGTGTTTGCTGTGATGCTGTGGGTTTCTGAGGCCCCAGACTTACGTGGGAGGTGCTGCTGCTAGTCCGTGTGACAGGATCGTTGATGGAGCAGCCCACCTGGGGCCCTGGGGTGTCCCTGCTGGACAGCCGGCCTTTTAGGGGTCTAACCTGGGAGCGCGCTGCCCGCTCTGTGGCTCTTCTTGGGGCTGCAGCGCTACCTCTGCCTTTTGAGAAAACAAAGTAAATTAGAACCAGCTAGAAAACAAATCAGTTCAGGGGCTGAACTTGATACGGGAGCAAGCAGAGAAACCTCTGTCAGACTTGAGTTTGTAGACACTAGCAATGAGGCTAAAATGAAGCTCGAGAGGAAGGAAGAAGAGTCCTAAGCTCCAGATGGCAAACTTTTGCTTAGTGCGTTTTATGGTTTGTTTGTTTTTTAAAGGTTTTATTTATTTATTTGAGAGAGAGAATGAGAGAGAGAGCACATGAGAGCGGGGAGGGTCAGAGGGAGAAGCTGAGCAGGGAGCCTGATGCGGAACTCGATCCCGGGACTCCAGGATCATGACCTCAGCCAAAGGCAGTCGCTTAACCAACTGAGCCACCCAGGCGCCCCTTTGTATTATCATTATTATTATTATTATTTTAAGATTTTATTTATT